GATCTCTAAGTGTAGTTCTCAATGGAACGGAATCAGCAAGACATCCTATTGGGGCAAGTGTTCCACAAGGAAGAGTGCTGGGCCCATTGTTATGGAATGTCTACTTCAAGGACCTTCTTCATCTCATCCCAGAATCACATGCATATGCAGACGACTGTACACTGACATTCACTTATCCAAGAAGAAGAAATGCAGCTGCTCTAGCTACATCAATCACCAGCTGAGAGCTATATCACTTGGGGGAAATAGATGGCAAGTAACATTTGCACCTGAGAAAATGCAAATGATGATCGTCTCTAGGCACCATGATGGTAATGCTGGTGCGTAGTAAGGATGAATGGGAGGGTGTTTGCACCTGGAGAAGAAGTTGATATCTTGGGGTGAAATTTGACTCCAAACTAACCATGAAGAAACCATGTTGTAAATCTTGCAAACTAGGCAGCCAGGAAGCTTACAGCACTTTGCCGTATCTCGCATCTGCTTGACAGTGGGGGTTGCAAGATCCTGTACGAGGCACAAGTACGCTCACACCTTGAGTATGCTCCACTTTCTTGGTTTGCCTGCCCTCCCTCTCATCTGCGACTGCTTGACGAGTAGAGAACAGAGCAAGACGTCTCATCTCTCGCCTGGACCCATCCTGGATAGATCTGTCATTTCAGCAGAGCCTTCAACATAGGAGGGATGTGGGTGGCCTTACTGTTATGTACAAGGCCAATATTGTCAAAATACCACACTTGGATTCACTTCGAGGACAGCGTGAAACAAGCTTTTATGCCACAAGAGGGGGCAGAAAGCAGCAACTTCACTCTGGCTGACCTTCTCCAGGACATCACTCATCGAGATCATACATACCCAGGATGACTCGAGTATGGAACACATTCGTACAGCATAATGATGTCAACAAGATAAAGTCAGTTGATCAAATGAAAATGCTGGCCCATAGATTGCTCCAACTTTATCCTGCTCCCTACTTGTATGTCTCATAACAATAAAAATGCTTTCAAATGAGCTGATGTAGGTAACAGCTCTTAGCTTGCCAATAAAGTTAGGAATCCTTAACCTGTAAATAGCTTGTCAATAAAGCTAGGGATCCTTAACCTTGTCATACCCTGTGTAAAAAAAAAAAAAAAAAAAAAAGAGAGAGAGAGAGAGAGAGATGGAGAGAGATCCAAATTCAGTCAGTCAGGCAGCCGGCCTGCCAGCCAGCCGAATGTGTATTACACATGTTCTAGTGTTGTTTCTCTTTACTTAGGGCATAGGTTATAGGACATTCTGGCAGGATGACACTGCCAGTGGTGTTCTCCCATTCCACTGTGTCGACAATACTTAACCCTTTCAGGGTCCAAGGCCCAAATCTGGAGTCACGCACCAGTGTCCAAGATATTTAAAAAAAAAAATTTGTTATTTTTTCTTATGAAATCGTAGAGAATCTTTTTGTGAAGGTAATAAAACAAAAAGTACGAAAATTGGTGGAAAATTTACGAAATTATGCTCTCGCGAATTTTGATGTGTCAGCGATATTTACGAATCGGCGATTTTGCCGACTTTGACTCCCATTTTAGTCCAATTACATTATTCCAATCAACCAAATTCTTAGCTATTTCACTAGTATTACTTCTATTCTATCGATTGAGCACAAGAAATCGCCAAGTCAACTGTTTCAACTACAAAATAAAGTGATCGGAAATTGTTAATTTGGCCAATTTTAACACAAAGTTCAAAATATTCCAATTTCAAAATAGGGCCAGAATGAACAATGTAGGCATTCCTGGCACTAAACTAACATTTCCTCTGTTCATTAGTTATGTTTTGAGGCTTTACAAATAAATTCCATTTTGTTTTTTTATTCACATAATGAATTTTTATTCACACCAAAAAATAGAAGATTTACTGTTATGCAATACTGTAATAATTGTATAAATATCATCACCATATTTGTGAATGTATATTAGACCCACCAGCTGATGTGTATTAGACGTGTGAGGTCGTTTGTTTACTCTTGAATATCGGCAAAAATTTAACATTTCCGCTACTTTGAGCTCAGTTTCAAGCCATTTCCAATGCTAAAACCAATCAAAATCATCTCTATTTCTGTAATATGTCTTCCATTCTATCAAATGAGACCAAGAAATCGCAAATACAACTATAAAAAAACATAACGAAAAAAAACACTGCAAAGTTGCTGTTTTAATCGAAAAATCATGATTTCATTTTTTTTCTCTCATTATGCACAGTGTGCTGCAGGATCTGTTTTATGTGGTGCACACATACCACATAGATGTATTCTCTCATATCTAGGCCCAAATGTACCACTCACAGTTTATCAGAGTGAGCTGAGCTCATGGCGTAGATCTACGGTTTGGACCCTGAACGTAAAGCCGTAGATCTACGGGACGGACCCTGAAAGGGTTAAAGATAACAACAACATACGATACTGTATGAGATGTAAAATTTACAATACTCTTCTACCATGTATACATAATATACAGTACATAAATGATTAAAATATGTATATCAATAGAAGTAAATTATGGTAAAATAAATGAAATAATTGTACATTACATTACAGTACTATGTAGGTAGTTCATATAGCAAAGGTTTGACATTATGCCCTACCCAGTATGTTGGCAATTTTCAAAGGTTCGACTTGCATCCTTGTTAACTCACGACCAGTTGGTCAGAACCAAGCTCGGTCGTAAGTCGGATGGTGCTTGTACATACGTGTCCAGTGTGGTACCCAGCATTGTCTGTGAATCAGGCTTTGGTCTTTTCATTACCATACATTGCATCTGCCTAGGAACCCTGGCACCCAGGATGCAGGAAGTGGCAAGACAAAGTTAAAATGTTCAAGTCTTGGAGTTGTGAAGAAAATAGAGATACATATTAGATAAACTTAAATGTGATGAATGTATGGTGGACATGGCGAGAGCTTATGGCCTTAATGAAGCATCGGTTCGTAAGATGAAAAAGAGTGAAGCAAATATACGGGCTTGTGCAATGAATAACCTGGGCTGTATTCTGATTTACTGACTTGATTGATTTACTGAATGACTTGACTGGTTTACTGAATGACGTACTTGACTGACTGACGTACTTTCTTGACTGACTAACCTACTGACTTGACTGATTTACTGAATGACTTGGCTGATTTACTGAGTGACTTACTTGACTGACCTACTGACTTGACTGACTGACCTACTGATTTACATGACTGACTTGCAGGTTTGACTGATTTATTTAATGACAGCTGATTTACTGAATTCCTGCCCGACCTGACTTGACTGATTTACTGAATGACTTTACTGATTGACTAAATGACTGATTGACTAAATGATTTACTGAATGACATTTAGGTCCCTTACCACAGTTACTCTCTCACTTGGTTCGAAAGTTCCTACACACTTGCTTAACATTTCCCAAAATCAATCTCTCTCCTTCACTTCTTTCTTTTCTCCAGGTGCATACACTTATTATGGCCCACTTTTTGCATCTGACCCTTATTTTAATCCACATAATCCTTGACTTTATACATTTATATTCCCTTTCCTCCTTCCATAACTGATTCTTCAACATTATTGCTATCCCTTCCTTAGCTCTAACTCTCTCAGATACTCCTGACGTAATCCCATTTATTTCTTCCCACTGAAACTCCCCTACTTTCTTCAGCTTTATTTTGCTCAGAGCGAGGACATCCAACTTCTTTTCATTTATAACATTAGCAATCATCTCTTTCTTTCTTATTATATTTTTTAGTACAGTGGACCCCCAGTTTGCGATGGCATCAGTATCCGATAAATCCGGTATGCGATACATTTTAACGCAAAAATTTTGCCTCGGTTCCTGTTAAAAAACCCGGTATACACGATTCGTCTGAGATGTGTCCATGTGTGGCCCAGTGTTTACAAGCCAGCCTGTGTGCTCGCATCTAAGGATACATTCGGTACATTCCATATTATCACAGTGTTTTTGGTGCTTGTTTCTGCAAAATAAGTCACCATGGGCCCCAAGAAAGCTTCTAGTGCCAACCCTGTGGTAAAAAGGGTGAAAATTAGTATGGAAATTAAGAAAGATTTTGAAGGGTTTAGGGCTAACCCTGAGAAGCCTATGCCAGTTGTGGAATCCATTGTGCCTACTTCAAAAATTAAGGGAATGTGTGCAAAGTGGGTTGAACTGCAAACCTTTATGGATGAAAATCACCCTAACACAGCTATTGCAAGCCGTGCTGGTGAATATTACAATGACAATGTTGTGGCCCATTTTAGACAAATCGTAAAGGAACGGGAGGTACAGAGCTCTATGGACAGATTTGTTGTGCGACAGAGGTCCAATGACTCTTAAGCTGGTCCTAGTGGCATTAAAAGAAGAAGGGAAGTAACCCTAGAAAAGGACTTGCTATCTCAAGTCCTAATGGAAGGGGATTCCCCTTCTAAACAATAAGTTCGACACTCTCCCCTCCTCCCATCCCATCAATCACCACCAGATCTTCATTAAAGGTAAGTGTCATGTATTCTATTGTTAGTAGAGTACTACAAACTGTGCATGTCTTCTTCAGTTTGTGTGCATTAAACTTAATATTTCATGTGGTAAAATTTTTTTTTCATACTTTGGGGTGTCTTGCACGGATTAATTTGATTTCCATTATTTCTTATGGGGAAAATTGATTCGCTTTTCGATAATTTTGGTTCACGATGAGCTCTCAGGAACGGATTAATATCGCAAACCGGGGGTCCGCTGTATTTTCTACAGGAGGGGTTACTTGCCCATTGCTCCCATCATTTTAGTCACCTCATATGACACGCTTGGCTTATGGAGGAAAGATTTTTTTTTCCACTTCCCCATGGAGAATAGAGGAAATAAAAAAGAACAAGGGATACTTATAAGTTAGGTAAATTAAAGAAAGTAGTATTATGAACAAGCTTCTCATGAGAGCTAACAGTCCTTAGGTTGGACATAGTAAAAGAGTAAACAAATAATTACACATCTTTTCATTCCCTTTTCAGCTTATGACTTGTCAGTTGGTTGTACGAGAACAGCGTCAACTAGCAGAGTGGATATGTGGCTCTTTACAGCGCTGGATGTACCTGGTGCCTCGGTTGTCTAACATGGCTCTTAAAGTTGTCACTCACTCCACAGACGGTATTGACACTTTATAACTTACACAATCTAGTTCTTTTTTTATTTTTCTTTATGTTTACCCTCATGTGCATTTATTAAACACCATTAACCCTTTCAGGGTCCAAATGCCAAATTTCAAAGTGCGCACCAGTATCCAAGAATTTTCAAAAAATAATTTTCTTAGTTTTTCTTATGAAATGGTAGAGAATCTTTTTCTGAAGGTAATAAAACTAAAAGTATGAAATTTGATGGAAAATTGATGAAATTATGCTCTCGCGAATTTTGATGTGTCAGCGATATTTACGCATTGGCGATTTTGCCGACTTCATCTCCCATTTTAGGCCAATTACTTTATTTCAGTCGACCAAATTCTTAGCTATTTCTCTAGTATTATTTTTATTCTATCGATTGAGCACAAGAAATCGCCAGCTCAACTGTTTCATCTACAAAATAAAGTGATTGGAAATTGGTAATTTGGCCAATTTAGTGCAAAGTTCAAAATATTCCAGTTTCAAAATAGGGTCCAGAATAAACAATGCAGGCATTCCTGGCACTAAACTAACATTTCCTCTGTTCATTAGTTATGTTTTCAGGCTTTACAAATGAATTCCATTTTCATTTTTAATTCACATAATGAATTTTTATTCAAACCAAAAAATGGAAGATTTACTGTCATGCAATATTGTAATAATTGTATGATAAATTAGACACAAGTGCAACTCTTGGGTATCTTTATTGAGGAAACGTTTCGCCACACAGTGGCTTCATCAGTCCATACAAAGGAGAACCTTGAAGAATAGGAGGAGAACGAGGTAATCAGTCCCTCAACCTTGAGTCGATGTGGTCAGTCCATCAATCTTGAATAGAATACGGCATATGTGC